ACTGTTATTTTTAAATTTGCATTATATCAATCAAAAACACGCAATCAAGATGTGTCACAACAGACATCTGAATAGTTTTTGATTGACATCTTGTGTTTTTCTGAGGCTCCAGTGGCAGACGGCTGACTGTTGTTTCTCCTGTTTCAGACCTCAGAAGGAGAACCGACAGACAAGGACGCCCTACAGCCGGGCAATCAGATCGTGTGTGCGGGTTACGCTCTTTACGGCAGCGCAACGCTAGTGGCTCTCAGTACAGGAGCTGGAGTTAACTTCTTCATGCTGGATCCAGTGAGCACAAACAGTTAAATCTGCTGAAATGATCGATTAGGAATGAATAATAACATCAGGGGGCCGGTTGCATAAACATAGCCACTATGTTAAGACTGTGTCTTAAGAACTAGTTTGATCAACTAGCAGTTAGCCAAGAGATAATCAGTCTCACTTTTCTGATTAAAATTGGGCCAATCTACGTTTTTGTAACTGACTTAGTTATGACCAGTCTAGAAGAAAACAAATTAAATGGCTAACTTTTTAAGACGAGTCTAAGCAGTTTATGCAACCGGCCCCTAACTTTACAATCTGAATGTTAGAGCATCTAGGCTGTTCTGAGATCAGAGTTTTATGGTCACAATATTTCAAAGTACTAGGAATCAGTTCATTGAAGACACTTTGGACGATTCAAGTGAATCATTTACAGTTTATTCACGACTATATGAACAAAGTGCACATAGGCTATGCCAAACATAATATTGCCAAAAATAGCTATGTAGTAAACTGTGAGACATTCTATACTTTATAACACGTCGTATGTTTCACTTCTGTTTATGGTTTGACTTTTTATTATTTTTTTTACACTTAAAGGGATGCTTCACTTCTTTTTTCAATTTCGAATGAAAGTCTTGAATGTTTTGTGGCTGCAGTGAACTAGTTTTGTTTCCTCATCTTTGGCCCTTTTATATTCGGTTACTCTGTTTTATTACAGAGTAACCGAATATAAAAGAGTACATTATCATAGTAGCCTACATTTGTATGTCAGTGTGACATGCGCTCACGAGAACATGATTTATTTTTTATGGTCCTCTTCTTCAGGCAATTGGAGAATTCATTCTGACAGACAGAAATGTGAAGATCAAGAAAAAGGGGAAGACTTACAGTATCAACGAGGGCTATGCTAAGTACTTTGAGCCTGCAGTGAATGATTATTTAAAGCACAAGAAATACCCAGAGGTGGGTTCTGTACAGAGACATTATCCAAACTAGCCCAATAATATTGCTTTGTCTGTTTTTATTGGCAACATTTATTTTTTTGACCTAAATGTGACTGTAAGATCACAGCACCTACACAGCACAAACTTAAAACTTTGTTCCTCATGTGATCGAGCAAACATACTCGCATGTTCATGACATGTTGCGACAGAACAGATTGTTGCTTAGCAGGCCTGTTTAAAACAAAGTGTGAGTCTGTATAATGCAGGTCAGAAGTTTGCATGACTGCATGGCTGTGCTCAGCATCAGCTGACGTTTACACACGTTACATGCTGGAAAGTGAAGAGCAACTTCCTCAGCAGGAATTCATGTTCTGTTTTCTGGACTGGAACATAGACTCAGCATATCTAACTGATTCATGTTACTCTGCACAAGCCTTGAGAGCGACTGGGTGCAGTGTGATCATAAATTATGCCGAGTATTTTTTTCCGTGGGTCAGTTGGTTAATTATTAAAGTTGCTTGTTTTTAGTGAATACTTGTAAGATCTTGTCTTTTCAGGAATACATGCTCTTGCTTGTTCATTTTTTGATCATATGATGGTGATAAGCAGGAAAAAGTAAACAAGAGTAAAGACTGAAGAGCTTGTCTTAGATAATGCATGGGAAGATAATAATGAGAAACTTGCTGTTTACATACATTATGTTATCAGTCATGTTTTATGTGGGATGTCATGTTTTCGTAGAAGTGTTGTCAGAAACAGGCTATCTCTGATCTCATGACGTATTGATTTGTTTGCATATTGTGTCTGTCTTTGCATGAGGTTGGCTAAGGGAACACACTGACACCCCTAAAATCCATATTGAAAACCAAGCATTACAACTTTATGTAGCTCCTTTTTGTCGTTTTTACTGCTCACATCTTTCTAAAGGAAAAGGCATTACATTAGGTGACAGTTGTGTGTGATTTTAGCTGTCCAGCTGGGTTTCAGTTTCCTAGAACTTCTCACACTACTTCCTGCTTTCCTGTCCTCTTTTATTGAAGCACATGTGACCTTTGCTCCCGACAATTATTGTTTTAGATTGTTTGCCAACTGTCGTGCAAGTAGAAATTATTTTGGATTCAGAGATCCAAGCCTAGAAAGATCATGCATACACAACGTATCTTATTCAGAAAGTTTGAGTTTTTGTTTATTTGAATTCTGATATTATTTTTTGATGAAATGTGATTGCCTCACAGGATGGCAGTGCCCCGTATGGTGCCAGGTATGTTGGGTCGATGGTGTCTGATATACACCGTACCATTGCCTATGGTGGCATATTCATGTACCCAGCCAATAAGAAGAATCCAAAAGGAAAGGTGAGTCGGCTAAGCTTTTACGGCATGATGATTTTTAGCTCATGTGTTTTAAGATATTCAGGACAAACATTCATACAAAAAGCACATCGGGTATTAGTGATGTGAGGAAATAATATAATGAATATGATGAAAGATAACAGACTTTAATTATACCATGTTACAGTAAAGTGTTTCATGCAGCATAGGTTGTCAGGTTAACATTGTTGTGTCCAGCTTGCCAGTATTATTTATATATTATATGGTATTTATTAATATTCTGAATTATCTTTTATTTTTGTTTATTTTAGTTTAACTTTGTGTTTTTGATATTTGTATTATTTACATTTAGTATTTTTATTTAGATTTATTTTTGTTTAATTTTTAGTACTTATGAGTGATATTTATTTATTTTATTTCAGTTAGTTGCCAAGGCAACATTTCTCTTTTTTGTTCGAGTTTAATTTTAAATCTAACATTTAGTTTATTTCAATTTTATTTTAGTTTCAGTTTAAGTTAACAATAACAACACTGCAGCAGACATAAGAAGACTTTCAAAATCCATAAGCCTCTGTTGTGTTTTATGCTGTAGATTACTTTGTTTTAGAGCAGGTACAGGCTGGTCGTATTCTGATAACAGATGTCGCTCATTTCACGGCAGAGAGCTGTGTCATTCCTGACACTGGGCAGTGACTAAACACATGACATGAGCCTAGACTGGAACAAATACACACTATAGCATGAAAGCAGCAAACCAGATATTATATCTGCAGTTCATGCTGCTTTTCAAAAAAAATGCCAGTGTACAAACTTTCATATGTATTGACACATTCCAGTTTCTCTGTTCTACATAACGTTAGATAAGAATAAAAAGAAACCGTTCTCAGTGAACTCAAAAACTTATTCCATGCTTCTTAGTTGACCCAAATGCACAACTGTTAAGTGCTCATGGTTTAGACCCTTTGAAAAATAACCTGAAATGAGCAAATCAGCATTATGTAACTTCTAAGGTTCTCACTTGTTTCATTCTCTCCAGCTGAGGCTGTTGTACGAGTGTAACCCCATAGCCTTCCTGATCGAGCAGGCCGGGGGCATCGCCACGACAGGCACCCAGCGCGTCCTGGATGTTATTCCCGAGTCACTGCACCAGAGGTTGCCCTTTGTGGTGGGATCCCCAGACGATGTGGAGGAGTACTTGTCCTTTGTCAAGAAACATAAAAAGTAGAGATTTCGGGTTGCGATTTGATCTATTTAAAGCCCACACATGACATCGAGATACAAAACATCACTGTAGCGTTTTTTTTTTTTAAATAGTAAAAGCAATGGTTTTGTAAACAGAATCACATTTAATTTCCAGTATTTTAAATCATTATTTTTTTACCCTTATTTCACAAATCACACACTCAAGGTCTTTTCAGTTCAGATTTGCTCTTCAGCCCTTTTGGCAATCTTTTTTCCTCACTTCTTTTATGTGAACATAATGTGCCTTCAGCAGTGTGTTGTTAGTTGGGAGTGTTTATACCCTCTCGTTCGAACAGACCCCTCCCTACTAGTAGAAGAGTCAAAACCTCAATAATCTTCACTCCGCAAGTCTTAGTTTGCCAGTCATGATGACAGCCCATGTAATGGCAGCGTGCAAAGAGATAAACAAATAGGACACGTTGTATTGTTGGAGCAAAAGAACAGCCCTCCATATTAATTTTCACCTCAGCAGGTCACAATAGGCATAGGCAAGGGAAAACCGAACTTTTGTGGCACTTCCAGAAAACTGTTTTTTCCCTTTAAAACCCTCATTAAAGTAATACTGATCCTAGATATGCTGCTTAGGTTAAAGTTGTAGAAAGCAGTACTGTAAATACAGAACCATTAAATCATAACCAGCCAACTTCCTGTTCAAGTAGGCTTAGGTAGACTAGTTTATATTTTCTGTTCGCTCATCTCAGTCAACAAAACATCATGATGAGGTGATAGGAATAAATGTTTTGGAACTGATATGGAAAGCTACAGCAAAATATACACTATGGTTCAAAAGTTTGGATAGTTTTTGAAAGAAGTTTCTTATGCTCACCAATGCGTCAGTGTCACATGATCCTACTGATGTTGATTTGGTGCTCAAGAAACATTTCTCATTATTATAAATGTTGACAATGGCGTTTAATATTTTTGTGGTAACTGATACTTTTTTTCTGGATTAAAAAAAAAAAAACAGCATTTTGTAACATTATAAATGTTTTACTGTCACTTTTGATCAATTTAATGTAGCTTTGCTGAATAATAAAGTCTCACTGACCCCAAACATTTGAACAGTAGTGTATGCATTTATGAACCATTTTTAAATTCTAGATATAAAACTAATAAAAGAATATAAATCCAAGCCAAAAACAAAACTGTTGAATTTTTAAAAGTTGAATTGATCATACAGAACGTAGAAATAAAAAAAAAACAAAAAAAAACAAAACACATTTGTACATTTAGACTTACACTGAAGAACACGTATTTACATTGAGGCAAAAATCAACTGAATTAGTGGCATTAAAATGACTAAAAACATTTGCAAAAATTCCCTAAAACAGTGTCACACAATAAATAGAGTTTGAGGTTTCTCTCTCAGTCTCAATCAGGCTGTGAGACACGGTCACATGTGTCAGGTGACTCCTTTTTCACTACACTAGTGGGTTTCAGTGAACCACTCAGGCACGGAGACACTAATGTGGCCTTCTGGTACTATGTCTTGATACTGGAGGTATCTTCCTTAGACGAGAGGGTAGCTAGCTGCTGTAGCAATACCACAGTGGTTGTGTCTGTCCTTGGCCATGTAGATGTATCCTTCATCACCCCAGTTCTCACTCCAGCTAGAATACAGAAAAAGCACATTGGGTTAAAAAACGCTGACTTTAAACACTGTATAATGCAGTGAAAGTCACTTTGGCTAAATGTAAATGTGTTTAAACTCCAATACGGTTTCCTGGTGTATAACTGGAAAACACAACTACAGTCTCTCACACATATCATATACACATCTACTTTCCAAGTGGTCAGACCATTATTCCCCCCATGGAGTTTAAACACATTTACATTTAGCCAAAGTGACTTTCACTGCATTCATGATACACATTTTGTCAGTCCTTGCTTTCTCTGGAAATGAAACCGAAAACCTTGACATCACAAGTGCCGTGCTCTACTGTTTGAGCTACAGGAAGGCACATTCAAAGGCCTTGTTTTTCTAGATATTTTACATATGGGCAACTATCTCACCTGATCTTTCACAGGAGTCACGTATCCCTTTTCTCTCCAGTCCAACTTGTTTGGGACCTCCAGGAAGTTGGGCTCCATGAACAGAGATCCTCTGAATCGTCTCTCCTTCTGGTGTTTGTAGCCATTCATCACCTGCCTGAACTCCTCATGAGTCTGTAGATATAGAATAGTTTGATGAATACTGAAGGAATTTCATAAATCAATATGCAAACACCTCAAATGAAGTTCTTCTGCAGTCTTACCATATCACCAAATTGGTTCATTCCGAGTCTGTAAGTGTGTGTGCCCATGGAGTGCTCAAGATTGTGCAGTTCGATCTTTCTCAAGTTTTTCTCCCAGACCATTCGCCTCCACCCCTCCTCCTTCTGTGTGAAAAGAGAGAACACCGAGTTCCACTTCTTGCTCCGTTTTAGACTAGTTAATGTACATTTTAAGCCAGAATGAACCTTTAACACTTACTTCATGGTATTTTTTACTGTGCCAGTTCTTCCACTGCTCCCAATGGTCGTCTAACTGCTTGTCCAAAGTTGGAGCAGCAAATACAGCACTGAGGCACAACGTGAACGCCACCAAATACACCCTCATGATGAAAACACTGGAGGAAAAACAACAACAGGTCAGGCATGTTGCAAGTGACCACGAGCCTGTTTTATCCCGCGTGAATATATCAGATTAAAACGTGTATACGGGAATGCATACATTTTAGTTTTAATAGTTTGCATGGTGCCGTTTGAGTACAAATATTATGGAAGCCAATTGGCACTTAGGAAATTACGAGATGAAATCATAAAAATCGAAATTATGAGACACCATGTCATGAGTCATTATTGTGACTCAGCATCTCATAATTTCGCATTTTTAATCGCATTATTATGATTTAGTACGTCATCATTCTGAATTACCAAACACTTTTTTTTCTTATGGGGCGGAAATGGGCTTCCATAGGTGTTGTATTAATACGTCCCTAAATACGGCATAAACGTATTTTAAATGGTTTCAGGTGAAGTTTGTCACACCGCAAGAGATTGCTAAAACTGCTTGAAATTTAATGTCACATATTCCTACATAATTAATCGTATATGTATATTTAAAAGAACTGGCGTCCATTTCCATTGGCATGAGATCAGATTACTGGCCCGACATCTTTGTCGACAACACCTGTGTTGTGCTACACCTGCAGGCAGCGGTAGTTAATAGCTTTGTTACGAATAGTAATACAGTGAGTAAGTTAAATCTAAAGGGAGAGGACGCATTACTCATGAAACCATTCTTAAAAACAGAGGCCGACCTAACGTTACAGTGCCGAACAGAAACGAATCTATATCACTGCCTGTATATCTTCTAAAAATATATTTGTTTACACGTGCCTCCGGACAGACACAGAAGGGAATAAGATTCCCATTTGCAGCAGTCACGGGATCTGGGAGGTTCCAGCCTACAGTTTCCCAGGAAAAGAAAGCAAAGACCGAAACCAGGCCACGGAAATCGAAAAAGAAACAGCTGGAACTATTTTAGAGGAATGGATATGGGATATGAGAAAGCGTCACGCTTTACTCATCTATTAAAATATGGTAAGTTAACGTTAAAACCGTGTGTCGCTAGAAAAAAATACAGCCAATTCATAAGAATGTATTGTGTAAAAGGCTCAGCAAAAGAGCGACCTAACAAGCTGAATTTTGTTCTGTATGAAGCATTACTCATTTTTTAAACCCTTAAAAAAAAAAGATGCATATAACAAAATTACACTGAAGTTTTTTTTTTTTTTAACAACAAATGTAAAAAAAAAAAACCCCTCAAGATTCCAGAAAGCTTTAAAAACTCCTGACTCACCCCGCGGTCCTGAAACCAGAAGAAAATAATGTGTGTTCTCGGTCTTCTTCTTCTTCTTCTTCTTGGTAATAATGTGTGTGTTGCAGAAGGGCCGCAAGTTTATAGCGCATCTGAAGGCACATTCCTCAATTTCTCATTGGTCGAGATTATTGTCGATCCCGCCCCCTGATGAACACGTCACAGCATGTGACTCACCAGCACGTGATGGCTTCCCACATGGTCTTACTTGTAGAGAAAAACAATGTTGCTATCTAAAAAAAACCCCAATCTATTTAACATAAAAATGTTGCATTAGTTCATAAATGTATATAATATGTTACTTTAAAAAGCACTAGTAAACAGCCAATGCTGAATATTGAGCTGCTATTTACTGTTTTATAGTAGAATGCACATTCAGATTGATCGGTTTTCTTTGCAATGATATATTTTTCTGAGATATTTAATCCATTTACAGTATTGTCATACGGAAGTCATAGGCATTTAAATTATACCTATTATTAGCCAACCAGTAGTGCTATGCCTTCCAAGTGTTCAAAAACAAGCTCTTCACACAACTAGAAATATGTCACAATTGATTTAAAAATGTTAGTTTTTGTCAAATGTCTGTTAATGCTGTGCAGGTCAGCCAAACCAACAAACAACTAGGCTACTAAATCACAAGATTATAAAACAAAAGGGTCTCTGTTTTAATGGACAATTTCACACATTCACAAAAAAACACAAGTAATAAACAATATGAATGCAGTGAACTTGCATGACCCTGCTCACACATCAACAGAACACCAAAACCAGTGTATACTGAATTTATTATCAGTATGTCTATGTGAGGACGTCAGTGCAGGTTGTCTAGTCCTATAACTTGACTTTGGAACAACATTCCATTGTTTACACTGACTGTAAAGCTTTGTGGCAGGCCAGAATTAGAGTGCTGTTGAATCTACAAACCAACAAAGGGGAAAACATAGTGATTAATGTGCTCGTCTGTGACAAGAAGCACTCAGTAGCTATAGATGGGAAGATTGCTCAGTTATCACTTAAGCCTATCAGCCCAGCGCTTCCAGAATGATCAAAAAGGAGCAGTTAAAAGAAGTATAATTGATCAAGTGTGAGCAACATCTATGTTAATCACGACTCTGATAATTATGATTAGAGTGTATGTATTCAGTATTACACATTATCACTAAATAGTAATTATGCAGTTTTTTTGTTTTGTTTCAAAGGCAACCATGTCAGAAACAGAGCTGTAAAAACAAGAGAACAGGAAAGCTTCTATATGTTATGATGAAATAAAGGTGCGGTAATTCCATTTGCTGAATCATGCCACAGACTGACGCCTCCAAAAACAAAAAACATGACTAATTATTCATCAGCGGCAATGTCATCATTATCAGTTTTTCATTTTAGCGAGCTCGGCTGAATTGAAGGCCTCAGTGGAAGCATACATGCGGAAGACATTTTACTAAGAATTAATTGGAGGGCACTTTGAAATATTTGAGAAAAATTGGAAATACGTCAGCTGTTAGTAGGGCAGGTTTATTAACAAATGACATAATTTACACCAAGGAATCTGGAATTCTGTAGGGTAAAATGTACTGTCTCAGAAATCTTCATGTCCTCGCAGTCTAACATCTCTTCTTTCAGATCTCAACTAAAAACCTATTTTTCTTTAAAGTTTTTCAGCTCACTTCTCTCTAGTGTTTGAGTTTGTTATTTATTTGTTTGTTTACTTGTACATGTATGAATGCTTGTAACTACAGCAACCCTGGAATTGGGACTTAATTAAAAAAAAACATTATTATTATTATTGTCTTAATTTTTGAAATGGGGTTAATGTAAATGGCAAAATACTGCATAAACTGAATATTTAAAAAAACACACTGAAGAGAATCACTGAGTAAACAATTTATTATAAAAAAAGTAGTACACTGTAAAGTTTAAGGAAGTATTAAGGACATGGCATTCAGAGACATGCGAACATAATATAAATAGAGAAATAATGTGAAGGTCTTGTGCAAAGAGATGACTGTACAAGTCTTAAATACACCAGGATAAATTCCCCTCCGATTTACCCTGTTAAAGTCTTAAGAGGGGCAACCATGAACCTTTACCACAGCTAAACAGAGAAAGAGCTCCATAATACATTGATTTAATCACAATATAAAAATGTGCCTTTTGGAATGAGAGAACAAAATATGTCCAATTCCCTTTTAGAAAAGTGTGATTTTAAGCCTGCAAGGGAAATGATGAAAGGTTGGAAAATAGACCTGTCCCAAAATATAATATGGAACAGTTCTTTGAATTTGTAGACATTAAAAAAGATGATGAAACTGCAACTGTCTCATAGGAGAGCAAGAGTTATAGCATGTGTTAGATGTAACAGAGTCTTTGCTGCCATCTACAGTTTTCAAGTTGTCACTTCATTTGTGTCCAATATACCACATTCAGTACAATCAGACAGGAGGAATGGCATCGCTTTTAAGTTTCAATGCAAATGTCAACATATTTTATGACACTTTTGCCTCATTTAAATCCCTTAAAATGGCATTTTATGATTAATTCTCCAGTGTACAGAATACACATGACTATGTGTTCCAAATAAATTTCTTAAACACTCAACAACAGTGTAAATGTAAGAAACAGATCATATTGAAATAACAGCTGAACAATTGTAACAAAGATCATGCTTATCAAGACACTGCAGCAGACATAACTGTTATAAAGAAAAATTAAATCTTACTTGTCATGTAGGTGCCTGGAATATTTAATCATTTCCATTTGACAGGTAGTCAGAACCGTAATATTTCACGAAAAGTGAATAAGTGTGAATAAGACAAATGTGAGGGATTTTAGGAACCACACTTTAAAATAATTTCCCATGTATTTAGATTTTTTAAAAGAATGTTTAGCATGTTTGTTTGTGCTTCATTAGTCGAATAAAATTCTGTCTGAATAATGATGCATTTTAGTTGCAATAAGGAACATTCAGGTAGTAAATACAAATTACCCAATTTTGTATGTTTGAGAAAAAGTGTAAATCTATTGCTGCGTAATAGATAAGTTAATTAAAAGCTTCATAAGACAGGTAAACACCGAAACACTTGCAGAAGTGCACATCCAATTTTGAAATCTAAAATGATGGCTCTTTGTCAACAGTTTACCATCTTCAAGGCACTCAATAGCTTGAGTCGTTTATTAAATAATGCTGCCAAGCACTTTAGTGATCTATCATTCGGTCATCAAATTTAGCATCATTTCCCTATTACAGCTGTCCGAATATATAAAAGTAATTGCAAACTGCAGAATTTTCATTCAATAAGGACATTGGAGAATGTGGGACAGTCAATAAAAGATTTGCAGAAAAAAAGTACACCTTTTCAAAGACACCAAGAATGAACATTCAGAAATCGCGAAGGGCAACAAAATGGACATGAGCTGAGTATCTGATTCAAATACTTCTGTCTCAGGACACCAGGGAGCTTGAGATTTAACACCACTCCACCGGTAAACTGCAAGTTTCTCTACAGACACAAATGACGTCCTAACGAGAGATCACGGAACTGATGGAGTTGTAGGATGTGCCGCCCCCATTACACACAGGGCTGTAGGGCTCTGGTGGGGTGCCCAGAATCTCCAAGTTGACCCGGAACACTGGTGCAGCTCTAAGGAGAAAATCCGCCGCATCCCGACGGCCAAGTTCTCGTAACTTGGCTACCAAAACGCCTATGGTTGAATTGGGTTGCTGGCTCCAATCTTGCAGGAGCAAGGCTGTGGGACTGGGAAGGGAAAGGGGGTCTGCAGGCGGAGTCCCATTGGTACCAGAACTGTATTTAGCAGCGAGCTCGCTAAGGCCCAAGTTCATGGCAAGCAGGCACCAGTCCTTCCCAAGGGCATCTGGCGGGTCCAGCAGACGGCAGAGCTTGCGTCTAGCCAGGTGACTGACTTCCGCCACGGGCACTTCCCCTCCAAGCCTGCCCTGTTTGTAGACATGGGTGCAACCTAATGCTACGATACTGACAAAGCTCTCACGATAGCCACCCATGGTGTTCGACAGGGCGTTCTCGCCTCGTGCTTGAGTGCGGAAAAAGTCCCTCGGTTGGTAGAGCATGACAGGGCCGTGGTGTTCCCGCAGCTGCTGAGGGCTGAGATAATGTCGGGCGGTAAGCAAACCGGGTAATGTAGCAGCTAACAGACCCTCTGCCATGCCGCATAACGTGTCCAATAAAGCATAGCAACGGCCGGGATCCGAGTCAGGTCCTCGTAACTGTACCTCCATGCCCTGCCCATGGTTCACAAGCAGAACCAGTGCCTCAGCACTGCCAAGTCCAACCCGGGCTCCACCGCTCCACAACCTCACATCCTCAGCCTCGACCTCCGGCTTCTGCTGCCGGCTCCACCTGCACAAGTTCACTTGCAACTTATGGAAAAGTCCACAAGGGAATGGTGCCAAGTGCTCCGCAGGCACTACTCGCACTCCACCGTAAAGCAAAGTGTCCTCGCCTTCTACATCTTCCTCATCCGTCCAGGTGTGCTGTAGGCCACTTGTGCGTATGAGGGCAGGAATGTCGACCATTCCTGGGTTGGCAAAGTCACGGGCACATACATCCATGGCGTCAAGCACCTGGAGAAGTTCATCAATGTCACCTTCTGAGACCAGGTTTTGGAGTTCTTCCACACGGTAGCGGCCACGGTAGTGGTGGATCGCTTTGGGGGTTTCAATCGAGAGAAGTTTGCCAAGTACGTTACTACAAAGCCAGCGAGGATCTAACAGGACAACATCCTGGACAGTCTCACTTTGCATGATGTTAATCTAGAAGAAAGAAAGGGAATAAAAAGGATTGAGTGCAAGCAAATGGGTGATTCTAAGATTCCTGTTTAAAGGCCTGCTCACACCAAGACAAATATGCGGTGAGATGAAATTTTTCATTTTAAATTAATGACTATTAACACATCTGTTCAGACCGTCACAAACATGCACATGCCAGTCAAGGCATAATTTTTTTTATGTAACGGTGTTCTAAACTGATTTCAATCATACTAACAAGAAAGCTGGCCAACCAATAAGATTCATGCGTTTGGTCACATGCTCAGAGCGCTACTGTTAGGCTACATAAAAATATGACTTGGTGGCACTAAAGAA